TATCTATCTATCTATCTATCTATCTATCTATCTATCTATCTATCTATCTATCTATCTATCTATCTCCATCCATCCATCCAGCTATCTTTCTGTGTATGTATGTATGTATGTATCTCTCTATCTATCTGTGTATCCCTGGTGAATTCCCGAGTGCATCAACATGCTTTGGCAAATTCTCCTCCTGGTGCAGAAGCCAAAGAGTCTGCCTGTGGGAGAGACGTGAGCTCTGTAATGGAAGTGCCTAGGAGAGAGTGTGGAGTATATGTAGACATTTTGAAACCGGCTCTGCTTGGCCAACCACAGGGTGAGTCGGAGGTTGTTAGACTATGGAATCATTCAGAAGGCACCACTCAGCCTCAGCTTAGTCTCTTCCGCTGCTCTGCCCTTGGTTTGCTGTCTTTGCTGGTAGTAGCTGGTGAGAGCCAATGGTATAATGTGAGAAGCCTTGGTCCCTTCCCATTGAAGCAGCCATGTGGCTGACTGAATACAGACTTGGGTTCTTTCTTTGCAGGTAAAGGGAGAGTGGTATCCTGGTGCTTCAGCACCTGGACTTTGCAGCCAGGTCAGCATTGATGCCCAAAGGAGCATGGAGTGACCTCTGGGACCCAGCCTAGCAGTAGCTGAGATGAGGGCTCATCTGACAGTCATGCCACATATGGATATGAAGTTGGTGAGGATGAGGCTAGGTAGGAACTGAGCTAAGTTTGAGCCCTTTCTCCTCAGAGACTGAGATATGATAGCAGAGAGTGTGCCTCTGAGATGTTGGGGGAAATGTTTGTACTTTTGTTCTTGCTATATTTTAAGGCGAATGTTCCTTTGCAAAAGCTAATTGAGATCAAATAGAACTTGGGCATAAGTCGCTGACACCTAACAGTGAGGGAAATACATCCAAACCCTTCAGAATCCCCCTAGAACCCTGAGAGTTCCCAGAACCTGACTCTGGGAGAATGTACATGCTACACTTAAACCCATGTTATGTGAGTGTGAGTTGTTTCTTATAATCAGTTAAGATTTCCAACTGCCTAAGTCAAAACTTCATATGTTCATAAGATAATTGGAATGTCTATAAGTGAAGCAGATGTCTGCAAAAGGAGGCTTGGAAACAAATGATAGCTAGGTAGTGAACGAGAGAAGAGTATAAAACCAAGTATATATTGATCTCAACCTTCTTGCCCTGTGGTATAGAGGGGAAATCAGCCATAGTGTAGTGTATGATCTGTTTTACCTTTTTCATGTCTTCATAGAACAGATAGAGCATGGGGTAATCTTTCTTTTTATCCCACCAGCTCTTCACATGGGCAAACCAGGAACCATAGGACACTACATCCAGAGAAAGGAAAAGATAATTTCTGTAAGAATCCATCCAACCACCATGTTTCTATCTGACTGGGGTTTTTTGTTTGTTTGTTTTTTTTTTGCTTTTTGGTGAGGCAATCAGGGTTAAGTGACTTGTCCAGGGTCACACCGCTAGTAAGTGTCAAGTGTCTGAGACCAGATTTGAATTCAGGTCCTGCTAATTACAAGGCTGGATCTATCCACTGTGCCACCTAGCTGCCCCTGATTAGGTTTTTAATATCATTCTAACTGTCCAAGGACTTGATCTACTTTGGTCACCACGGCAACTGAAAACATTGGCTTGGATACTTTTTGGCTCAGTATTTGTGTACGGATGTGCATTATGGGGGAGGATTCTCTCAATCAAGGGAAATAAGACCTCTTGGGGAAAGCTTGCACATCAGTGGAGGCCTGATGACTGTGAGCTGAAGATATGGCACCAAAATGAAAACAAAGAAATTTATTAGCGCACTCAGGAAGACTGCTCTTGCTGATAACGGTGTTAGCTTTTCAGTGTTTTTAAACCTTTTCAGGACTGCTTAGAGTACAGAGCCAATCAGAAGCATTCTATGGTACTTAGGATGGATACATAAGACATTTCATGGGAGAGGGAGAGATAGAGAAGGGGGATTGTTCAAGAAAGGGAGTATTTGGAATGCAACCGGCAGGATTTATTATCAGAACAAGAAAACATCTTCTGTTCAACAGCAGGAGGCAAAGGGAAATGACCAAGTAATTTCACAATTTTTAAATAAATCCAATTAAACAAAACTTCAGGGTTGAGATAACCATTTAGATGAGATTACAAGCATCTTTTATCTAAGGACCACAAATATTTATTACTACAGTGATCGAGACTATATGCTTTGTCATGTCCTTACATACTTTGTTGTATCTTATTTCTTCTTCAATAGAGGATGGGGACTTTCCACCACTGGATCACCAGGTGGTTGGGGGATCAGTCCATCAAAATGTTATGAAATAAATATCGTTCCTATTTTGTTTTTCATGGCATTATTGACAGTAAGAAAAAATGAGAAGAATATTAGAAAAATTTCAAAGTGAAATGATATATACATTCATTTAGGATTTCTTAGCATCACTCTGAGAATGATAATTTTTTTGTCTTAAGACCAACTATGCAGAGATTATTTCTAGATAGATGAAAAGAAATGTATTAAAATCACTTGTAGCTTTTCTAGCACAAACAGATCCCAAGTGAAGTACACCTATTACTTTCCTGCATTTCCATTCTTTTTAGTAAGCTGAGCAGTATCTGCTGTGAGCAATTGATCAGTGTCTGGAAGGTCAGAATATTTTCTGGATCTGGGTTAGTAGATTATTATTCTTATTATCTCACGTGCTTGTGGATAGAGCTATGATTGGGATTTGTCACCAAATGATGCTTCACAAAAAAGAGTTCAGATGATTAAAAATGAACAAAGACAGACATTAGCAGTAGAAAAAGATAGCATTAATGAACTGAATATGCAATTAGAAACTAGAAAGCTAACAAATAAACAAACTCCAAATAAACACAAAAAAGGACCTCTCAGCAAGTAGAGGAAAATTGAACAAATTGAGAAACAGAAAGACATAAAGGTGATAAACAAAACTAAAAGCTTATTCTTTCAAGAGAAAATGGAATCAAATTGATAAAATGAATCAAAAATCGATAAACCTCTAGCTAGCTTGGTTAAAAGGAAGAGGAAATCAAACTAACAAAATATAAAGCAAACAAGGGAAATGACTAAAAAGTAGCTCTGAAGCATGAATGGGATTACTAGATCTCAAACTAGATTATAAAGCAATAGTCATCACAACTACTTTAATGTTAGTTAAAAAATAGAAATATAAATCAGTGGTATGGGCTAGATAAGGAAGGATGAAAAACAATTGAACTAAATAATCCAGTATTTGATGAACCTGAGGCCTTAGGTTACTCAGGGAAGGATTCTCTATTTGACAAGAATTGTTGAGAAAACCAAAGAGTACCTTATCATAAATTAAGTTTATATCAACATTTCACATCATTTACTACAGAAAGCTAAAAATAAGGGGCAGCTAGGTGGCACGATGGATAGAGTTCCAGCCCTCAGACACTTGACACTTAGTAGCTGTGTGACCCTGGGCAAGTCACTTAATTCTGATTGCTTCACCAAAACAAAAGCCAAAAAAAAAAAAAGTTAAGAATACATATATGACTGGAATATTAAAGTTTATACTACAAAAAAATTAGAAGAGAATCAGAGCAAGAATCTTGCACAGATATATCTAGAGAAACAATTCTAGCCAAGTAAAATATAGTTAGATTTGCTACACCAAGCAAGAGATAAAGGCAATCACAAAAGGTAAAATAGATCATTTTGATTACATGAAAATAAAAAAAAAAGATTTTTACACGAACAAAATTAACACACATAGGAAAAGGGAAGCCATTGATCGGGAAAATTTTCTTTGCATCAAATATTTCTGATAAGGGTCTGGTATCCTAGATACATAGAGAATTAACATAAATATACAAGAACAAAAGTTAATCCCTAGTGAATAAGCGGTCAAAGGATGTGAGCAACAGTATCTAAATGAAGAATTGCAAACAACTAACAACCATATGAAAAAAATTTCCAAATCACTAATAATAAGGGAAACAATTTTGAGGTTTTACCTCAAATCCAGCAAACTGACAAAGATAGAAGTAGTTGGGGTTATGGAAAGACAGATACACTAATATGCCATTGGTGGAGCTATGAAGTGGTCTAACTATTCAGGAAAGTTGGTTGGAATTATGCTAAGAAAGTGACTAAAATGCCCCTATGCGTTGACCTGGATATTCCACTGCTAGGCATATATACCCAGGAGGTCGATATAAGAAAGAAAGGCTCCTAAACATTTATAGCATTTATAGCATAACTTAGTTTGTGGCTGCAAATACTTAGAAATTAAATAGGTTGGGGAATGATTAGATGAACTGTGGCACATGAATGGAACATTACCACGGTGTGAAAAATGATGAATGTGAAAGATACAAAGAAGCGTAGGAAGACATATGAACTGACGCAAAGTGAAACAATCAGTATAACAGTATACATGACTGCAACAGTGTAAATAGAAAGAATGATAGTAAAACAACCAAAACTGAATGCCGTGAAATGACCATGCCTACACTTGCTCCTAAAGAAGATGTGTGAGAATGTTCTTCCCTCTCTTCTTGGCAGAGGTGGGGGACTATGGGTATAGAATGCTGCATGTAATGTATTTGGCTAATATGTGGGGTAATTTCTCTGCCCCTGCCCCTCTCTGGACTAGTGAGGGAGGATGGAAATATTGGGAAATGTAAGTGAAATTAAAAAAAAAAAGATACCAGAAATATATAAAAAAATAGACATTCAAGAATGAAAATAATTTTCAGAATAATTCCAACCTACCTTTCCCAGTCATGTACTTCTCCAGGTATTCTGCCCAGGAGTTGGGGTAAGGCTCTAATTTATTCATCAAGTCAAAATGGTAATATGAAACTGCAGCATCTTTGGCATTTCTTGCCATGTAAATTATCTGCAAGAGGATGGAGGGGAGATTTAGTGGAAATCCCAGGAAGAGAATTGTAATCAGGAAAGTAAGTAAACTTCAAAGGAGCTAATCATTCATTAGCAGATTTAATTTTTTTTTTTTTTTTTTAGAATTGGTAGAGGTTGGCTTGGGAATTGCCTTAAGGTGGTGGTGGTGGTGGTGGGGTGTTACAATGTCACTATCCTGAGTCCCCCTGCTCTTCCACCTTAGGTAGACTTCTACCTTATCTTGCCTCCGTACAACTTCCCTCCTGTCTCCTCACCATGCTGCTGTTTCCTCCCCTCCTACCTTGTCCTTTAAATTTTTTTTTTTTACTATTTTTACTTTATTGATGTTTTCTGTTTCTTACAACACCATAGTATCTCATGTATCCCTTCACTTTCCCCTCCTTCAGAGTCATCTCATATGACAAACAGCGTAATTTTTTTTAGAGAGAAAAAAAATAAGCATAATTGATGGATACATTGGAAAAGTCCAAAAACACATTCAATGTGTAAAACCTTTCTACCTTGCCTTTTATATGTTGTCTTCTCCTATTAGAATGTAAACTTCTTGAGGGCAGAGACTGCCTTCTTTGCTTGCAATTGTATCCCCATCCTTTAGCACATGATCTAGCAAATAGCAAGTACAAAATAAATGAGCTATCCATCTATCTATTAGAGGTGAATAGAATGGTGGGCCTCTGGAATTTGGAAGACCTGAATTCAAATCCAGCCTCAGACACCTACTACCTCTGTGTTCCTGGGCAAGTTACTTCTGTTTGCCTCAGTTTCCTCATCTGTGAAATGAGGATAATAATATTGCATACTTTTCCAAGTGATTGTGAGGATCAAGTCAGATATTTATAAAATGCTTAGCACAATGCCTGGTACATAGGCTCTCAATAAATGTTTATCCCTTCCTGCCACCTCTTTCTCCTTTTTATCCCTCTTCCCCCAGATAGATAGGAGATATGAGCCCAGGAAAGTCACAGTTGCCGTGAGAGGTCTTGTCTATGCCTATTTCAGTATCAGATATGCAGAGAATTCCTCAGAAGTAGACAGTTCATTCTAGAGTTGCCTTGACTGGTCTGGGCCAAAAAGGTGCTAGTTTCCCCCCAGTGTTCTGAACCACATCTTATAACCAGGACCATATAATTCTGTGTGACACTAACATTTTATTCTCTGCACACTCTACAATCCCAATCACCAGTGTGACAAGGTCTCCTTGGCTGAATGACACTTCATCCACTCATTATTTAAACCAGCATCTAGTTGGAAATATAGCCCAGTGATAATGTCTACTCTTTCCTGCCTACTTCTTCTCCATCAATCAACAAGTCACCTGTAAGCCAATCATTGAGGCTTCACATCCAAAAGGCAGTCTTTTCCCCTTATGGAGCTTACATTTTATTAAATCATCCTGTATGCTCCATGCCTTCTCAAATTACCCTGCATTGCCTTGTCGCTATTCTGATTCCCACCCATCTTCCTGGAGAATGTTAGCCCCTCTAGGGCAGGGATTGTTTTGGTTTTGTCTTACATCTCCAGAAATTTACAGGTAGCACTTAGTGAATATTTATTGAATTCAATTGGATTGAATGCCAATTTTATAGTTTAAGCCTTCCATTCCATTTCCAGAGCAGGACAAAATACAATGAAAATATGTGGGGTCTCTGGAGTGATGCTTTATTGTGAAATGAATATACATTTGCTTTAAATCCTTAAATTAAATCCTTGCCCCATGGAATTGACAGTAATTTCTTATGGACACCAGTAATACAGATGACAACTTCAGATTGACAGAAGAAATTAATTATCTCTGCCCCTCAGTCTAGCTCTACCATAATAATGAGTAAGCACGTAATGAGGATTAACTATATTTCAGGGCAGCTAGGTGGCACCACAGCAGAGTGTCAGGCTTGGAGTCAGGAAGACTCATCTTTCTGAGTTCTTATCTGTCCTCAGACACTTCCTAGCTGTGTGACCCTGGACGAGTCACTTAATCCCATTTGCCTCAGTTTTGTCATCTGTAAAATAAGATGGAGAAGGAGATGATGAACCACTCCAGTACCTTTGCCAAGAAAACTCCAAATGAGGTCACGAAGAGTCAGACATAACTGAAAAATCATTGAACAACAGCAACAGCTACAATGACTATCCCTCCGTGGGTTAGAGAGCCACAACAAACAAGTTACCTTGCAATTGTTTTTCCAGCAATCCTTGGGAATGAGATCAACTGGCAGATGGGTCTTGATAAGGCGGGGTGATGGCATTTTTTCTAATGCCTCCGTGCCTAGGAAAAGTCCATTTGGTAGAGGGAGACATTAGACTTTGCCAGGAACATTTCCTTAGCACCAATTCCATAGCCAACTGTCTGTCTCCATATTTTTCTGAGTAGCTGCTGTTGAACTCTGAAACAGTTGCCAATTTCCTACTTGGGCTCTTCTGGTATAACCTTTGCTAAACATGATGGGGTCTGAGGGGTAACACAAGCAAATTACAGGACAGTTTACTCTTTAGCATACAAAATTGGGTCCTATGCAGTATTTCCATCAGCTAGGTGTTGCGGTGGGTAGAGAGCTGGGCCTGGAGCCAGAAAGATTCCTTTTTGTGAGATCAGATCTGGTCTCAGATATTTACTATCTGATTAAGCAAGTTGCTTAACCCTGTTTGCCTCAGTTTCCTCATCTATAAAATAAGCTGGAGAAGGAAATGGCAAACCAGTCTAGTATCTTTGCCAAGGAAACCCCAAATGGAGTCGTGAAGAGCTGGACATCACTCAAGAACAATAAGTATTTTTATCAGATCAACTCTAAACCAGTTTTATTCATCCAGGACTTCGAGGCGGAAGACACCTTAGAAATCATCAAGCCAGCCCCTTCTTTTACAGACAGAGACGCCAAAGCCCAGAACGGTTCTAGCCATTTTGAGTTTCCCATGAATTCTAGCAGCTTCTTGGCTTGTCCTTCATAATCTGTCTTGACTACAATCACATCCATCTGGATAAGTGAACCAGGACACCACTAGTTAAATAGCAGAGCCAGGATAGGGACTCAAGTCCTCTTACTCAAAGGCTCAGTGTGAGGGTTGCTGAGGTAAATTGCTGGGATTGGATGATTACATTCAATGTTTGGCTCCACTGGGATTCTCACTTTGGAGTCGGTGTGGGAGACAGTACAGGAAAACTTGAACAGAAGAAGGAATTATGAAGAAGACTTGGAAGGCTTTGCAGTTGGGAAGTTGGCGAGAGAAAATTGGAGAATTTGAAGGAGGAGAAGGATTTGAGATACAGGAGAATGATGGACCCAAGGAGGAAGACTTGGGCTTAAGGTGAAGGAGAAGGAGGGACAGGAGGAGAGAAACTGGTGGGCCTAGGTAAGAGGGTGCAAAACAAGGGAAAGGCACTTGGGTGTGGTTGTCAAAGTAAGGTGAGTAAGGTGAGAAGGAAACTATTACCCAAGAGCCTCAGAAAAAGCAGGTTGACCTCTTTGCCTCCATTATGTGCATTTCAGGTCAAATCTACTTCTGTCATTAAAACCTATTGCTTCTGGTTCTTCCCCTTTTGGCAAAACAGAACGTATCCAATCCCTCTCCCATATGATAACCCCTCAGATGCTTGAAGACAGCTAGCATCCTGTCTCTGCCACTTATGAGATGGGTGACTATGGGGGGCAAGAGGCTGCCACTGCTCTGAGCTTCATTTTCCACAACTATAAAATAAGGCAAGGTCTTGGGTTCAAATCCCAAATCTATGACTCTCTAGTTGTCTGGGACATCACCCCCACCCCTGTTCCCTATGCCACTCAACCAGAGGACTGAAGGTCTTTAAGAAGAAGCTGAATGACCTCTTGTTGGGAATACTGTAAAAGAGATGCTTATATATGTTCAGTTCAGATTAGATGCTACTGAGCTTCTGTGGGAACCTCTATTCCACGACAGAGGACTTTTGCATAGAAAAATGATGGGGACTCTTAAAGAGGAATCGATCAAAGATAGGAGGCCACTAAGGCACAGTCGATAAAGAGCCAACCTCAGAATTAGGAAGATCTAGGTTCACATCTTGCCTCTGAAACATAGAGGGACCCTTGATATCCCAGTGTCCCAAGCAGCTTTCTAAGAATCTAAGCGTAGGCAAGCATCTGTCTTGGTGAGGAGAATTCTCACTTGGGATTCCCTATGCCAAGGAAAGCACAAGTCTGGTTCGATAGACAAAGAAACCCAGGCTTGGAAGTGAGGCTGGGTGAGATAAATTGCTGGAATATTTAATGCCCAAAGTAGGGGGTTATGTAACAGGTCTTCTAGACAAATTTGGAACTCTGCTCTGTCTATATCTTGCCACATATGTTCATTTTAAAGTGAATGTCAGATCAGCTCACATAAAAGTAATCAACTTAAAAAAATACCGTAAAAAAATTTGGATATTTCTCTCCTACCTTTTTTTTTCTTTTGGTGTGTGTGTGATGGATAGATTTCTGGCAGAAAGTTAGTTATTTTGCACATTACGTAAACAATGCAACGCACAATTTCCTTTTACACATACAGATTTATGGATACTTCAGAACAAGAAGATTTCCCCTTTTGTGGGCTGTGACTGTGTAAACATCTGGAGCTAGAATGTTGTTTGCCGTAACAACGAGCATGGCTTTCTTTTGTTACACTTGAAAGTATACCCAGTACTCTAAAAGTGACAGTCTTGAGCGATAAACATAAGTCAAGTCTGTTGAATAATAATTTCTGTGTTATAACAAGAGTAGGCTCTGAAACATAAAAATTGTTTTGAAGCAACCTCTTGCTCTTTGCTCAAAGGAAAGCGGGAATAGGGCTGCTGAAATCTGTTTCAGTTCAGCAGCCTAATTTCCAGATGCAAACTTCCATCATGCCATTTGGCAAAATAAATAAATAAATAAATGAATAAATAAAAATGCTAGAATGTATTGAGCTTTGGCCATTCAGTGTATCTCTGTGATAACTTGACTGCAAATTTTTAGGTGGCACAGTGGATAGAGTATTGGATTTGGAGTCAGGGAGACCTGAGTTCAAATCCTGCCTTAAATACTAACTGGCTATGTGACCCTGGGCAAGTCATTTAACCTTAGTTTCCTCATCTGTATCCATCCAGAGCAGGTGTTGTGAATTAAACCTTTGTTACACATGTTTCATGTACATCTGCCTCACTACTATTATGATCCAAGTTTAAGCTTATCCCCTCCCATGGATGCTGTTATGGGAAAGAGTGAACCAGGTTTTAGGAGAATGTTTTGTATTAACTGTCTTTATCATGTTATCTGAGCAAATACCTTTGGTAAAAAGTCATTGAGACTATTGGATGACTGTCAATGGGACCTACTTCTTTGGGCACTCAGGACCGACAGTAGGAGAAGCCTCCTCCTCCTCCTCCTCCTTTTCCTATGGGGCACCATATCCTTACATGTGGGTCCTCTGTTCACAGGAATATAAATTTTGGTTGCTTATATTTTGTAAGCTATTTTGAGGTTTGGGGACTAGCTTTTAAAAATATTTATTTATCCATCAATCAATGTATTATTATTTTAAAAAACAGGGATAATTACTTTTTGTCTGAAGTTTTCATTTATGATTTCTTGAAATAATAATTCTGGAAAAACAGGCTTTAAAAAAACCCAGTATGTTTCAAATGGAGCTACCTGACTATCCCTTTAAACCCAAATCACTGTGGCTTTTATTGAATGGCCAATAATAGCCCCCAGACCAAGGCTCTGAGGCTCATTGTTTAGATCTAGATGGCTTAGAATGAATGTCAATAGTAATTGTTTTCTCTTCTGGCCAGAACCTTTAAGGTTCTTCCCCTCTCAGAATGATATTTTTGTGATGGTAAATTAAGCCATATTTTGTCTCAATTCTTATTTTGCCCTTAGTCATTGAATGGGTGTTGCCTTAGACAAACTGAGATCTGAGAAAGACCTTAATTTAGGAAAGCCAAGGTCACCACTGCATCCCAGGTCATCACCAGTTGTCTTGACTTTTATCTTGCCACTGGACTCTGATAATTGTGGAGGAGGGAGTGAGAGTGATGACTTTGTGCAGCTCTGCCTCACTTAAATCCAATTCATTGTGATCCAATGCACCCTCATGATATCTTTGGTCCTCTTCAAGAATCAAGGATAAACAACAAGCTTATCTATAAATATGGGGATAATAATAGCATTTTCCTCTTGTGAAAGTGGTATTGTGAAGATCAAGTAAGATAACACATATAAAGTGCTTTGCAAATATTAAAGCATTAAATAAATGCTAGTTATTATTATTTCATTTACAGGGACATGCTAGAACTCTATTTACTGCTAGGTGGTACATTGGATAGAGTGCCTCACCTGGAGTGAGGAAAACCTGAGTTTAAGTCTAGCCTCAGATACTTACTAGCTGTGAGAGCCTGAGCAAGTCATGTAATCTTTGTTTGTCTCAGTTTCCTCATCTGTAAAATGGGTATCATAATAGGATCTATCTCAAGTGGTTGTTGAGATGATCAAATAAGATAATAATTGTAAAACACTTAGCACAGTACCTGGCATATAGTAAGAGCTATATAAATGTTAGCTATCGTCATCATCCATACCTGGGTTGGGAGAGAATTGCAAATACTGTTGTGTCCATATTAATTCATGATGGCATGCATTAGAAGAACAGAGTAATAAAAGCAAACAATCAAACAAACAAAACAGAAGATACCTGTAATCCTCAGTCCTGGGACAAACAATTCCAACATTGGAACTTTTTCGGTAATGGCACTTCGACTACATTTTTCAATGTCGCCATCATTTTGAATCATATCCACAACTTCGGAAATCCATGTGGTACCTGAAGCAGAAGGTCAAGGATATGATATCTATCAAATGAACCTACCTAAGTTATTCAGCCAACTAATGATACTCCCAATTTCTCAATTATTCCATTTGAACTTTGGTTGTACTGAGTTCTTTTTGTTGTACTGAGTACAACAACTTCCATCATGTCAATTTAGTGTTTCATTGAGAATTCCCAGTATGAGAATTCACTGTACAGTCCCATCAAGCTCTCTGCCTCACAATCAATCAAACTGCAAAGCATTTACATTGTTTGGACTGGGGGACCCAGAGACAAAACCAAAACTCTCTTTCTGGCCCTGCACTCAAGGACATGGCATGATGTTGAGGAGACAATATGTACTTATATAAGTCAGCGCCTAAGGTAGATGAAATAAATACAAGTCAATTGTGGGTGGAGACATTGGCAATTCAAGAGAGGCCTCATGTGGGAGGTGGTACCTGAGCTGGAGAAAGTGCATTCCAGGAACGGAAAAGACAGCCTGCATAGAGGCATAGAATGAGAATGTCGGATGTTTGTTGACTGTCCTTCCGACTTCAACCATGTAATATCCCCATTTGTAGGCATAAGGTAGAGAGACTGGGACCAGCCCCGCTCCTGGGCAGGATAGAAAAGAGTAGATGGACCTCCAGCTTCTGTGGCTCAGTTTAGAGGTACTTCTGTGGTGTCCTGCTCTGGCGTGGTCCGACCAATTGAAAGTAACTGGGCCAAGCACACGGTGACTGATTCTGCCCCAAATCCTCATGATAGGTCCCTGTCTTGCCCTCATCTCCCCATACGTAAGTTCCCCTATCATTATCCTGCCCCGTTACCCAATTCTTACCTTTCTTCCACCAATCTTTCCACAGGCTCGAGACCCAATGTAAAGGTCATCTAGCAGTGGGCAGGAAACAATGATCCAGAAAAGAGAGTGGTCCACATCAGGGGACTCTATATACTGGGGACACAGGCTCAGGAGATGGGGCCTAGGAAAATTCATTATGCCTAACCTAACTGGGCATCCCTTGGCTGCCGTACCTCCCTAAGGCCTGCCTGGCCACCCCAGATCCCTTTCTATTCCCTGTTATTGAAATAATAACAATGAATAATATCCATCAGAAAAGATTTATTAAGTACTTATTTATATTTTATATTGCTATGTATAATTATATATTTAATAAATTATATTGATTTATATTTATATTCATTACGCACTTATGTGCTAGGCACTGTGCTAAGAGCTAAGGATACAAAGAAAGGTAAAAACAGATCCTGCCCCCTAGGAGCTTACATTCAGATGGGGAAGACTCCATTTAAATAACTAGGTCCAGACAAGACGTATCCAGGGTAAATGGAAGGGAATGTCAAAGTGAAGGCACTAACAGCAGCAGGGACCGGGGAAGCCCTCCTGGAAGAAGAGGGCTTTGAGCTGATGCTTAAAAGAAGCCAGGGAGGCTAAGATGTAGAGGAGAGGGACAGCCCCGGGCCCAGAGGAAGATGCTGAATGTTGTGTTTAAGGATCAGCAGGCAGGCCAGTGTTGACTGGACATAGAGTAGGTGGAAGGGAGTTAAGTATAAGAAGACAAGTAGGTAGGAGAAGGGTCAGGTTGTGAAGGGTTTTAAATGCCAAACAGAAAAGTCTGTATTTGTTCTTGGGAGCAATAGGGAGCCATTGGAGATTCTTGAGAGCAGCTAGGTGGTGCGGTGCATAGAGCACCAGGCTTGGAGTCAGGAAGACTTATCTTCCTGAGTTCAAACCTGGCCTCAGACATTTACTACCTGTGTGACCCTGGGCAAGTCACTTAACCCTGTTTGCCTCAGTTTCCTCATCTGTAAAATGAGCTACAGAAGGAAATGGAAAACCACTGCAGCATCTTTGCCAAGAACACCCCAAAATGGGGTCACAAAGGGTTGGACACGATTGAAATGATTAACAACAACAAAACAGTATCAATAACATGAATAAACCCAGTGTGTGAATAATTCAAAAGCTTTCCCCTTCTCTAGTATTTGACTATACTCAGCTTTTAGCCCTGCTCACATGATTGCAGGGCAAGGTGTTAGAAGTCCATAAAATCTTTTTTTTTTCCTCCTGCTAAAATATCTATCTCTGCCAGGAAACATGAACCGTGGGGCAAGATCATCTATGTTATCTGAAGAGGTCAAGGACTTGCTAAAACGGGAGAGCTTCCACAAGATCTCTTGGTCTGTGGACTTTCCAAAGGTTACCAGACTCACCGGATTTGGGGTAAGTGGCAATCACAATGTCATCTGGCCTCCACTGGAACTTCTCTATTCTCTCCCAGTTGTGTGAAAAGGCATAGACTATGGGGTATCCATGGACAGTCTTGGGCTCCTTCCTGATGAAATCTGCCAGCGTGAGCATTCTAGGAGGAGGCGGTGGGGTGCAGAGAGATGAACAGAATACAAATCAGAGTCGTTGGTAGGCAACTGACACAGAAACATGAATTTGAAATAACTACGCGCACTAACAGAATACAAAGGGCGAGTGGGAATATAGGCAGGTTGTAAACACGGGCAGAGGCCATGTGACAAATTGAACAAAGGTCTCTGGGAGGGGAAGGGTTAGAATAAAATCAAATAAATGTTTCCTTTGAAATTCTTATTGAAACTTCAGAGTAAAAGTCTAGCAGGGAGGGTGACATCTTTAGGGATCAGGTATGTCCTCAAGAGAGACCCCCAGCTCCTTACCAGTTTTAGAGGTCTTCTTGAAAATGCTTTTAGGAAAAGACCTTGCCATTAGGAGTAGCTAGGTGGCGCAGTGGATACAGTGTTGGGCCTGGAGTTGGTACAACTAGAGTTCAAATCCAGTCCCAGACACTTACTAGTTGTCTGACCCCGGGCAAGTCACTTTACCCTGTTAGCCTCAGTTTCCTCATCTCTAAAATGAGCTGGAGAAAGAACTGGCAAACCACTTCAGTATCTCTACCAAAAGCAAAACAAAACAAAACAAAATACAATACCAAATGGGATCACAAAGAGTTGGGCGTGACTAAAATGACTGAACAATAACTTGTCATTGAAATAACACTTTCCCACCAAATTCTACTACAATTTCAGACTGTTCGTCTTCATTCTGATATCTTGCTTATATATGATTTGCTTATACATAATTTGTCCGAGAAGGAGAATGAAATGTGATATCTGTTATTCTTTAAGGCGAAAGTCACAGAGCAGACACTGCTCTGCATTGATAAATAATAGCATGTATACAGTAACTCTCCATATGTTATAACTTTATACATGTTGCCTCATTTGATCCTAACAACACTTCTAGGAGGATTTCTCCCTTGTTAGACTGTGAGCTCCTGGAGACCAGGGACTGGGTTTTGTTTTGTTTTCAGTTTTCCCTTTCTTCTTATCCATCTTCCTGTGGCCAGGGGCCATCAAATCCAACTCCCTCATTTTACAGATGAGGAAACTGAGGCCCAGAGAAAAGAAGTTGATTTGCCCAAGATATCATAGGTAGGAAATGACAGATGCAGAATTTAAACCTAGGTCTTCTGAATCCAATAGCCAATCAGTATTCTCTCCACTGTAACCCAGGAATGTCTTAACTTTCCACTTCAGGTCAACACTCAGCTACTGGATCCAATTTCCTGTTGCTATGTCATTTGAAGTCAAGGCTTCAGTCATGGGGAGGAGGAAGAAAGTGGCAGCTCTCACAGAATCTGGCTTTTTTGTTTTCCCAATGAATGCAAACACTCCTGACAGAAAGCTTCATGCCAGTAACAGGAGGGACAACAGTCCTGTCTGAAGGTTGGGCATGCACTCCTTTATTGACACATTCACATTAACAACCACACACTCAGGCTGGCGAAGGACTTGGCACCCCAGCAGGCTCTACCACGTACAAAAGGACTTGGATTAGGAGCGCGGGTTCCGTTGCCATCCAGCTTGAGGTTTTCTTGGCAACAAAGGTTTTTCACAATGTGTCTCCTTAATAAGGAGCCGTCCAGACACTGAAAGTCTGATGTTCTTTCTCACCAGGAGGAGGTTTCTTTCCAATGTAAATACCTGAGAAGTAGCAATCATTGCTAAATGTGGATGCCTGAGGGCTCTTGGGAAAGCATAACCTATACACGCGTCATTGTTCTGGGTGACAGTTCAATGAAAAGGATCCCAAATGGAGGGAAAATCAGTTTAAACTCGCCAAAGTCCAGATTAAAGGTTACAAGATATTATTAAAGATAAAAGATATTATTAAAGATAAGATACCTTGAAAGAAATGTAAGTCTATTACTTTCGAACAATAACTGGGATTTAGCTGCCAAAGTAGTTTCACAGGCCTAGAGTCTGTCTAGTTCTACCTCTTTATTTTATTTTACAGATGAGGAAACTGAGATAAGCACAGGTTAATTGTCTTGCCCAAGGTCACACAAATAGGAAATGGTGGAGCCTTATTTCACACTGAAGTGCTACACGTGTGGCATTCTTTCCACTGGGTCAGGGTAGCTAGGTGGCACCATAGTGCATAGAGCACTGGTCTTGTAATCAGGAAGACTCATCTTCCTGAATTCAAGCCTGGCCTCAGACACTTCCTAGTTATGTGACTCTGGGCAAGTCATTTAACCTGTTTGCCTCAATTTCCTCATCTGTAAAACGACCTGGAGAAGGAAATGACAAACCACTTCAGTATCTTTGCCAAGAAAACCCCAGATGGATACAACTGAAAAATGACTCAACAACAACAACTAACACATATACTGGCTGCTCTGTCTATCCCTATTCCTATCCTTATCCTTATCCTTATTCTTATTTTTATCCCTATTCTTTAAAGTCACATGAGTCATAGATCTTAGAGCTTAAAAACTAGACTCAGGAAGTGATTGGGAAAACTAGAGGCTCACCAACACCTTCAGATGATCCAGAAACATCACCAGTGATACAAATAGTTTCTTAGATGATTTTGTTTTCTTTGACTATGAAAAAGTTTCCACTACCAGATGCCTTAAGCTTCTCCTGGTAGAAGAATATTGTTTGAGAAGCATGGAATTAGTAATGAGCTGATGATGTTGGAGTTAAGTCTAAGTACATAGGCACACTGAAATAAAAGCATCTGTGAAAACTATTAAGAGATCCCACCCAAGACAGTCAACAAACATTAATTAAGCACTTACTGTATGCCAGGCACTGTACTAAGAAGTAGAGATAAAAAAAAAGGCAAAAAAGAGGACCTGCCCTCAAAGAGCATATGACTGAGTCCAGTACAGTCACCAGTGGAATTTGGAATTGATTCAGAAGATTCACTGACAATTGAAAATATTTATGTAGGAAAAAGAATTCCACTTTAATAGATACTTGTTAATAATGGATAATAATAATGATGGTGGATAATAATAATAATAAACAATTGTTCCAGATCATAGGACTGTAAATTTAAAGCAGTCAGGGATAATAGAAACGATTTAGTCTGACCCCCTCATTTTACCAATGAAGCAACTATGGCCCAAGGTGGTTACTTGACTTGTCCAAATTCACACAGCTGTAGATAGGATTTGAACCCAGATCTTCTGACTTCAAATCCAGCTCTCTTTCCCTGATTTCAAGGCAAACAGAAATATAATTTTTTTTTAAGTTTTACATTAAACATTTTTTGGGGGGAGGCAATTGGGATTAAAGGACTTGTGCAGGGTCACACAGTTAGTAAAGGTCAAGTGTCTGAGGCCAGATTTGAGCTCAGGTCCTCCTGACTCCAGGGCTATTGCTCTATCCACTGCACCACCTAGCTGCTCCAGAAATAGAATTTAGAGAATTTATAGGGGAATCAGTATATTTTCCATCAGATGTAGGAGGAACTTAGGAATATGCTATAAGTTTGTACAAACAGCACTTGTACTTTGTACTTTGCTTTAGCTCAGTAAAAAAGTTGTTGTACAGTCATTTTTCAGTCATGTCTGACTCTCTGTGACCCCATTTAGGGTTTTCTTGGTACGGTGACTGGAGTGGTTTGCCATTTCCTTCTCCAGTTCATTTGACAGATGAGGAAACTGAGGCAAACAAGGTTAAGTGACTTGCCCAGGGTCACACAGATAGTGTCTGAGGCCGTATTTGAACTCAGGAAGATGAGTCTTCCTGACTCCAGGTTGGGTCTCTATCCAATGCAGTGCCACCTAGCTGCCATACAAAAAAGTAGGGTGTATATGTGTGTGTGTGTATACATATGTGTATATGTGTATCCATCTCTCTCTCTCTTTCTATTTCTTTCTTTCTTTCTCTATTTTTTTTTCCCAACCAGACCTACATTTTCATTGGTGTAGGAAACTCCCTTTGGGGAAGTTTCTTCCGTCAACACCCACCAGCCCTGGCATCTACCCTGTAACGTATAATAGAGAGTTGCATGGGACACTGAGAAGTTATGTAACTTATCCAGAGTCACAGAGTTGTGTATGTCAGGGGAAGGAATTAAACTCATCTGAACATGTGCGTATGTGCCCATATTTGTGGGTATGTGTATATATTTGTATAGGGCAGCTCGGTCACACAGTGGGTAGAGTGCCCGGCCAGGAGTTGGGAAGACTCCTCTTAACCCTGTTTGCCTCAGTTTCCTCATCTATAAAACAAACTGGAGAAGGAAATGGCAAACTACTTTAGGGAAATATTTAATAGACTTTAGGGAAAGATTTTAAAGACTTTAGGGAAGATCTGTGCGATGAATAAATTAAATGCAAGAATAATACCATTAAAGGAGGACTTAGCATAACGTAAAATGTAGTGTAACTTCATCACATAATGAGGTTGATACTGTGTACATATTCTCCTGGTTCTGCCCACTTCACTTTGTATCTGTTGTAGTATAACTCTTAAAAAGAAAAACTCAATTTTCTGCTCTTCTCTCCCTGCCTTCCTTCCTCCGTCCTACTATGTCCTGCTCTGCCCTGCACCCACATTCATTCACACACACACACACACACACACACAGAGCAGCTGTTGATATAAATTTTATAGTCAATCTCCTGGAAAGGGTTATAATGGCAGAGTGGGGGTTGGGAGTTAGTTACCAAAGCCGGGCTGTCTACAAAAAGGGCCCTGAGATACTCACAAGTAAGGCACAATGGGAGAATGCTAGATGTGGCGGGCCCCAAAATCAATTATGGGGGCCTCAGTTCCTTTATTTGGCTGTATTTGTGGCCTACAGGGGCCACTCCAGAGATCGTGTGAAAAGGTCTCCCTTGTAAAATTCTTGCGACTCCAGGGATGTGTATGACTCAATGCTGAAAGGTGATGAAAACCCTGAGTGGTCCCTTAATCCTTTCCCCCACCCTGTGACATCATTAGCATGGTCAGGTATTGCATCAATTAAAAAGAAGAGCCAGCTTCTGATTAGATTTCTTCCTTTGACTCCCCTGTGTGGTAAATGATTCTCTTTGTCATCAGACTTTTAGTAGAGGATTAAGGGAGATCAGTGATGTTCTTTCCTAGGAGTGCGGCCACTCCCAGGATCATGGCTCAAGCAACCAGGAGAGTTTACGTCAGGGCCTCTGGCTGCCTTTTCTTCTTTGTGTTTCCTTTCCAGAATAGGTGAGTAAACATTGTTCTCAAGATGGATGCTTTCTAGACCTGGAGGTGACCTTGTGAGCTTAAGACGTGCTGTTCATCAGAGAAGATGACCACTGGCAGGAGTATGTTTTGGGAATTGTTTGGACAGTGCAGAAACAAGGTGAAATGTAGCTATGCCTGTTCAGTGGTCCAAACTGTTAATGTTCTATGTTTGTAACTCAACCACCCGTAGAGGATAATAGCACAGTTATCCCTTGAAACTCATGACTTTCCCCATCACGGTTTTGATATATCTTGAGTCAGCATAAGAAATTAAATGGGAATTTTTTGGGAGTTTTGTGGAAGCAGCAGATGACATGTGAAGGCCAGTGGATGACATAGAGCTTATGGCCAAATACTTAACCCACATTTTACAATATAATACTGTAAATGCCCCGTAAAAGAAAAACAAAAAATTCAGACTTCTTCTCTGGTATGAAGGGAGGGCCAAAAAATTTTACCTGGATTTTCCAGATCAAGGGGGCCCCAACCTCCATGATGTGGAAGGGATAACTTAGTGTTAAGTTACTGAAGTCTCATTAATGTGTGCTGTGAGTCTTTCTGTGTCTTTTAGTGTATACATTTTTTGTTAGTAGGAAATAATTATTTGTCCCATAACTGATTATTATTGTAAATTGAATATCTTTTTATTCCTCTTCTGGAGAGACCATAGATATGAACTGCAACATGAGCTCTGAAGAATTATTCTCAGGAGCACCAAGGTGGAGTTTTAACCAGCTGAAGAATTTAAGGAAAAAAACTGCCCTCTTGTTAGAGGGCCGACTCCCCCAGAATTGAACCTAGCTTGGCCTGTGTCCCTGCGTCCAGAGTAGCCCTTAGTGAAAGGCAACAGGAAGGGAGCAATCACTGTTCCTTCGTGCTAATTGCAAAATGAGGAAGCTGTAGCCAATGAACTCTAATGTTGCTTTCAGTTCTAAATCTAGAATTCGAAATTCCTGGAGATGCTTTGTTCCTCTCAAAACAAGAATCACACTTAGAGAGAGCCTGAGGGATCCCAGTCAGTAAACTAGCTCTGAATTCTACAAGGACTGCTTTGAGATCACGTGAAGTACAGACACATTTGTAAAAAGAAAATCTATTTAACCAGCTCTGGACACACAGCAGGAAACACCAAGAAAACAGAAAAATTGACAAACCTTTGTGCAAATTTCCTTGTTCTCTTTGTCAGGCAGTCATCAACAAGCGAGCAGCAGTCACAGCCGGTGGTCAGCAGTCAGAGGGTAAATTCTGTAGGGGATGGTGTCCAATTGAGCAGCCTCACTATGTTAACTAGTAAAGAATACGTTTTGGGGATCTTTGGTGTTAAAAGAAACAAAAACCTAAAGAGTCAGTTTGGATTCTAAGCAGTGTGTGTTAGACAATGAACAGGCAGGCCTTGTTTCAACATCTGGTAGAGTGAAGAAGGAATAAGAAGGAAATGTAGCTGGGAGGTGGCCAGTGGTGAGCAAAGGCACAGAATGCTCAGATTTGAGTCATGGGGGCTCAGACAGCATTGGCAGAAAATTGCAGGGATTATTGGCCTGAACTGCTATTGTATATGCAAGGGGAAAGGACTTGCTTCTTCATGACTGATTCTTTTTTTTTTTTTTGGAGGCAATTGGGGGTAAGTGACTTGCCCAGGGTCACACAGCTACTAAGTGTCTGAGGCTGGATTTGAACTCAGGCCTCCTGACTCCAATGCCGGTGCTCTACCCACTGCGCCACCTAGCTGCCCACAGGGTATAGTGGAAAGAGTACCAGCTCTCCTCCTCTCAGAGGACTTGGGCTTGAATTTCTCCTCTGATACAGTGCCACCTCGGGCTTAATCTCCTTGGCCCTAATTTTCCTCATCTGCACAATGAGAATATAACACCACATGGGCCCTGAGCTCCCTGCAAACTCTACATTTGTGATGCTTAGACTTTCTTCACCACCGCTTTCTCTGCTCCCTTTAAATGAGGACCTCCTCGCATACCTTGTCCTTTTTATTGGGCTTTAAAGTTTGCAAAGCACTTTACAAATATCTTCTTTGATCTTCATAACCACTCCTATGCTATTATTACCCCCATTTTACAGATGAAGAAACTGAGAATGACAGAGGTTAAGTGACTTGCTCAATGGCTAGTAAGGGTCTGTGACACAGTGGATAAAGCACCGGGCTTAGGGTCAAGAAGACTCTCCATGAGTTCAAATCTGGCCTCAGACCCTTACTAGCTGTGTGACCCTGGGCAAGTCACTTAACCTTATTTGCCTCAGTTTTCTCATCTGTCAAATGAGCTGGAGAAGGAAATGGCAAACCACTCTAGGATCTTTGCCAAGAAAACCCCAAATGGGGTCATGAAGAGTCAGAAATGACTCAACAATAACAATAGCTTCCTAACTCCAGGCCCAATTCTCTTTCCTATGGGTCGCCTCACTGACCGAATGGGAACCACTAACCATGAGTTCCCTCTTCTCTTCTTGTCTGCATCTCAAAACCTCTGGGCATCCTCTTTCATCCTCTTATTTATTATAGTGTCTGATGAAGATGCTGGTCTATTGAAGGCCTGAGGGCCAGCCCCTTGTGCCTTTGACCTCTCATCTCCTTTGGCAGATCACTCCCGTAATCAGCCCTCCTCTCTCCAATCTTCAGTCTCTTTCCACCTACTGACACTTTTCCTGCTGTCTTCAACCAGGCCCAGGTCTTCTCCATCCTTACTTAAAAAGGGTTTGACACCTGCCAAGCATCTTGGGATCTGTAGTTCACAGCGACAAGCATCCTGACCCAGAATATCATTAACACTTCTAGGCCACTTGGGTCCTCTGTAAGTTCAGGTTTAGAGAGGCAAAGCTGGAGTTTTGGTGAGGATTATGATGAGCCCACCTGGCAGCTAGCACTTGGATAGGGACAGATGGGTCAGAAGGTCACAGAATAGCAAGGACTGCCTGAATAATGAGCAAAAGATCAGCCCAAACTGTGACGTGCCTGGGGAAGTCACGCCAGACCATGACGGTAATATCTACTCACGCATGTGGTTCCTTACACTCATAAATGCACATATTAGTTATTTCCTATTCAATGTGTTTCTGTTTCATGATTATTTTTCTCACATATTTACTCTGTATTAGTATTATAAATGTATGGTTTGTTAAATAGATTTTCTTTTTTCTTTTTTTCTTTTTTTAGCTATGTGCTCATAATCTATTTTTGGAAGGAAAGGAGAATGGGTATACACATTTATATAGCACCTGCTGTGTGCCAGGCACTGTGCTAGGCACTGGGGATACAAAGAGCATTTATGTAATACCTACTGTGTATCAGGCACTATGCTCAGCACTGAGGATACACAGTAAGGGGAAGGGGGGTAGAAGGGAATTAACATTTATATAGTGCCTACTATGTGCCAAACAGTATGGTAAAGCACTTTATAATTATTATACAACAGTCCAGGGAGGTAGGTACTATTATTAACACCATTTTACAGATTAAGAAACTGAGAAGTTAAGTGACTTGTCCAGGGTCCACTGCTCATAGTGCCTGAGACTGGGTTTGAACTCAGATCTTCCCTGACTCCAGGCCCAGTGCTCTGTGCATTCTGGTGCCTCCTAGCGGCCACTCTAGGTATTTTGCTTAGGTCACAAATGTCCTGTTAATTTTGTTTGCTCTTCCTTTGTGTTACACAGATATGCGGAGGCACAACCATGTAATACATCTTACGTGAAATTCAGACTCATAGTCACTGAAACAGCCTGTCAAGTGATGTCCTCAAAGTGGATAGAGCTGGTAGTCAGGAAGACTTGAGTTCAAATCTAGCCTCCTGACACTGGCTAGCTACGTGACCCTGGGCATGTGATTCAGTTTCCTCATCTATAAAATGGGTATAATAGCATTTACTTTCCAGGGCTATTGTGAGGATAAATCAAAATATTTATAAAGTGATTTGCAAAGCTTAAAAGCTTTACCTAAATGCTAGCTAGCTATTGTTATTGTTGTTATTATTATTACATGTATCGTTGATGTATATTGCTGTGAAATGGCCCTTTGTAGCCTTTTCCACATCGTTCACCTGGTATTCTGTGTTATGCTCAAAGCAGGTTACTTGCTGTCTTGCAAACAATCCATTCAGTCTGTGTCTGTGTCCCACAGCCAAGGATGAGGAGAGAGTTCACTTCCCCCTTATCCCAGCCTCTTAGAATCCTCCTCTTCCTTCAAAGCTCACCGCAAGCCCCACCTCCTACATGAGGCTCTTCCGGATTTCCCTGGATGCTAGTCTCTCCACTCCCATATTTATTATACATATTATATGTTATATTATATGTATGTATATATATGTATACACACATATGCACATACCTGTTGTCTCCCTGGTAGAATGTAAATGGTGAAAAGAATACAGGCTCTAGGACCAGAAAAGCTGCATTCTCAACTCTGAAGTGAAGGGGGGTGGGTTAGATGAGGCCCCTCCCACTTCTCAATCTATGATTTTCCCCAGGGCCTGGGGCAGTTCACATTTTGTCCTTGTATTTCTCATGCCTCACACAGTGCTTGGCACATCATAGGGGCCTGGCGTTTTTTGTTTGCATAATTGAATGATTGATGAGAATGAGCAGCAGTAATGACATCACCCTTTGGTGCTGACTATTGGGGCACCCCTCATCTGACAGCCTCCAGGACTTCATAGAAAAGAGTTCACTCTAAGTATGGTTGCATTGGCTTTATGAGCCCGAAGTGAAACGGGCGTAGAGAGATAATACATGATTTTCCCGTGTCAAAAAATACAGAAGGCAAAGAGCGGGAGGGGATGCAGAAAAATTGACTCCACTGCTGCCGGGATCAGAGCAGTCAATGTATTTTTTAGGCTTACAGGTTTGGGGGTCAGGTGGCTCCTGGGGCCCTCAGTGACCCACAGGGCATCATACGAGGGGGCTGGGCGTTGAGGGCACTTATACCCAAGTGAGTGCTTAAATGGGGTTCTAGCTACTGGGGAAAATATGTGGTTCAGCAGTGAGCCCACCGAGCAGGTGGCAAAAAGGAACAAAGAACAGATTTGAAGAACCAAGGCAGGCACACGTGGTTTTGGAAAGAGCCGCTGTAGGAAAAGATATGACATGCTGCCTTTATACTAAGTCTTATAGACCTTGCAGAAGGGTTTCCTCAGGACACTCTGGTCAGTTTTGCTCAGGAGTAATTAATGGGGCCCGCACTCTAGCACACTTGAACCTAGTACGCCGGTAGGGTTTAACCACCTGCCTATGTCTACCTTCGTGTAACCCGATGTTGTCAGGCATTACTCCAGCTGGCTTTGGTCAATGAGCATTTATTAATGAAACTAACTAAAATTAATTATAATATTAAATTCAGGTGGCTCTTAGACATTATGAATTTCTGATCACGTAGCTCACAATGAAAAAACATGGACTTCTAAACTTAGCCAACACCCTTATTTCAGATGTAGATGAAGAAATGGAAACCCAAAGAGGTGCCAACTCGGCTGAGATCACACCCTGAGTTCATGGCAGAGCTAGGCTTGGAGTCCAGGTCTCCTAACCCCTAGGGCACTGCATTTTTCTCTAAATGATACTTTGGAAAAGGTGGGAATGATGGTCCCCAAAGAACTCCCTTTGTGCGGAAATGGAGCTTAACTGTGAACTGAAGTTACTCAGTCTTGGCTTCAAGTAATGGCAGGACAGCTGTAGTGGGTGGAGTAAACATAATGTATCACCATGAGTAAATGAAGAAACACCTTGTACTTTTTGTCCTGTTCTAACAGCTATTTCTTCCTGGCAGCTTTTTGTCTGTGCAACATGTCATCGGTATCCTGTTTATGCAGATGTTTCATTTACTGCAATTAATTATCTAAACAACATAGCATTTAAAACTTTTGGAGCAGATGTTTCTTGCATATTTTTATGTCTTGTTAGTGTAGCCAGCCAGAACAGAGTAAGCCTTTTTTTTTTTAACCTTGTTTTCCTGTAGAAAAGAAACCCTATAGTAAAATCCAAGGGAACTGTGCTCAGATATTTGTCTTTGTGTATCCCCTTTGCTGGGCAGCTAGGCGGCAAAGTGGATAGTGCACCGGGCTTGGAATCAGAAGGGCTCATCTTCATGAGTTCAAATGTAGTCTCAGATACTTACTAGCTGTGTGACCCTGGGCAGGTCATTTAACTCTATTTACCTCAGTTTCCTCATCTGTCAAATGAACTGGAGAAGGAAATGGCAAACTACTCTAGTGTCTTTGCCAAGAAAATCCCAAAAATCGGGTTATGAAGAGTCAGATGTGATTGAAAGGACTGAACAACAAAATCTCCTTTGCTTATAAGTTAAAAATTTGTTGACTAGTGTATCTCTTGAGTTTTTCTTTCAGCTACTACAACACTGCCATTAGGGCAGCTAGGTGGCACAGTGGATAGAGCGCTGGACCTGGAGTCAGGAAGACTCATCTTCCTGAGTTTAAATCTGGCCTCA